CAACCCACCCCCCACACGAACATATAAGTATAAATACACCACCACCTACACCCACGGTTAAAAAAAAATGGGACATTATATAGGCACCCTGGTTTTTACTTTTTTTAAGGACGCGGCGAGGAGATTCCCAAAAGCGTGCAGCCACATAATCCTTTGAGGGAAAAAGAGTAGTTATTTTTTTTTAAGCAAGGGTCTGTATGGAGGGGCGCCCGCCAATTCGGCAGTATCAGATCTCGGAAGGAGGGCCGGAGCTTTCGGGCCTATTTGGAGGCCAATCTTTATAATACCCCCCCATTTGGAGTTGGGGAAGGGGGGGGGGCTTGGGGGGGAGAGGCCTGAGGAGGAGGAGGGGGATGGGGAGGGGAAGGAGAAGCCTGTTTCGATTTGAAGGGGGGGGGGGGGGAGTGCGTGTGTGTAGATTAGCGAGGGAGTGTGTTTAGAGGTTTATATCTATTCCCTGGTTGGGGTGAAATATCAATACATACATGGTGTTATACTTCAATGGTTCATTTCTCTGTACTTTTCTTGTCGTCTTAGCTTTTCACTCCTAGCCGTTAATCTACATGAGGCCCCCCTGATCTCAAATCATCCGTTCGTCATCGTCATCGTCATGATCATCATTATCGTCTCAGATATAGCCCCTTAAAATCATCGATCTAACACACTATCGCACATCCCTCAATCCAGCTCAACCCCCTCCAACGCCTCGTTAATAAACGCCTCTCCATCCTCTCCAACCCCTACATCTACCCCCCCTCTCGCACCCTCAACCGACGCCACCTCGCCCTGCTCACTCCGCTCATCCACATCACTCCCACCGCCCCCCTCACTCTCCGTCTCAGGCGGCGTCTCCATCCCCCCCCTCGACGCAACACTACCACCCACCAAATTCCGCTTCAGCATACACATCTCGACCGTAATCCCCGGCCCAAACGCACACCCCACCACATACTCCTTCGGCCCACCCCCACCCCCACCCCCAGCCCTCGGCGCCGGCGCCAGCGCATCCATATCCTTCCTCCGCAACCGATCCAGCACACTCAGAATCGTAGCCGAGCTACTATTCCCATGATTAACATACGTGTCATAGCTGGCACGCATATGTTCCGGCGCCAGCCCCAGCGCGCGCTCGGCGCCCGACAGGATGGTGGCGCCGCCCGGGTGCATGGCCCAGTCGAAGTCGGCGGGGACGGTGTAGTCCGCTTGGAGGGGTGGGAGGGAGGAGAGTAGGGAGGTGAAGGTCGGGGCGAGCACGGATTGAGTGAGTTGCGGGACGCGCGGGGAGAGGACTACTTTCCAGCCCAGCGGGTCGACGTTTAAGCCGAGGTCGGGTTCTGTGGTCGGGATGGTGTGGTGGTGCCAGCCTAGGAGGCCGTCCATGGGCGACGGGTGAGGGCATGGTTCTTTATATGGTACTTCGCGG